CTTTGTTGTTGGTCCGGCTTGCAAGCACTAATCTGGTCCAGAATTTGTTGCATGATGTTCTCGCTCGAATCCATGACTGACACCTGGGACGTGGTCATGGCCTGGCCCTGTGGCACCTGTGGGTACGGCGGCGTGTCAGAAGGAAGCGAATGTGGTTCATTTTCTCCCCCGTTGAGTTTTCGTGTTTTTTTTTTTTCTCTCTCTTTTCTTTTCTTAATAGTTAGACATGTGTTGTTGTTAACCAATCATACAAGAACATAGAATGCTAGAACATAGAATCCCTCACACACAAAGAAAGAAAGAAAGAGACAGACAAACACAAACAAATAAACACACATACACATAAGCCTAACCCCTAAACAAGCAACAACTTAACATTCATAATAATTACCTAATAACAACCATTCCTGTCAGTTATCTTAAACAAGTCTTTTGAATTCTAGAGAGAAAGAGAGAAGAGAGAGAGAGAGAGAGAGAGAGAGAGAGAGAGAGAGAGAGAGAGAGAGAGAGAGAGAGAGAGAGAGAGAGAGAGAGAGAGAGAGAGAGAGAGAGAGAGAGAGAGAGAGAGAGAGAGAAGAGAGGAATCGAAAGAGAAGAGAAGAGAGAAGGGAAGAAAAGAGGGAGAGAAATAATAAGAGACAATAATAAAACTAAATAAATAAATAAGACTACCTACAGAATACGAACAAATCCTATTCATACACACACAGAAAAAAAGGGAAAGACAATAATCTTTACTTACTATAGCATAGGTTTTAAAATATCCTACCTTTATTATAGCCCAAAGAAAAAAGAGAAAAGAGAAAAAGAGACAGAGAATAAAAAATCCAAATTAAAGACGCAGAAGAATCCAACACCCTCCACACCTCCCCCCCCCAAAAAAAAAGGACAAAATGTTATCTCATCCTAAAAATAAAGAAGAAAATAACTCACAAGAGTGAAAAAAGAACACACAAAACCCGACATTTTACTTAATCATTTAACCAAAAGGAGCCCGACCCAAAACAAGTCCTCCGCGTCCGGATCCCTCGCACAAGAATCTTGAAGGAACTCACCTGGAGTTTGGGCGATATCCTTTCCATAAGAGCCGTGATGGAGCGTATATAAGGCTCAAGTTGCTGAGCAATGATCATAAGACGCTTATTCTCGTCTCGAAGGGTCGCCACGTCGTTCACCTGAAGGAGGGAAGTCAGTCACAACGGATTCGAACGAAGCCCCAACCTCGGTCTCGAATCTGGTGTTGGAACTTTGGCCGAAGTTTCGCAAATTTTTATTAATTGCTCGATTTGTATGTATTTACCTTTTTGTTTCGTTATATTGATTAAGAAATTGACTGAATTTAGTAGGTTTCTACATAAGCTTCAATTTAATTTCTATTCTAATGGTGATATATTTTTTGTCTTATTTTCACACATTATTTATATTTTGGCAATCTATTTATTTTTTATGCTTGGTTATTTAAACTGATTTATTTGTTTTATTCGTATATCATCTTAAGGACGCAGCTAATGCATCCTCTAAGGCAATAGGTTTCGACCTTTCTCATGATGAAGTTTTTTATATCCCTTATTTACTTATGTAACTAGTTTTTTTCCTTGTCATTCATTTAGTTATTCATTTCTTTATTTTTTTCAGCTTCCTTTGAAAAATGTTTTTACATAATTCATGAATAACTGGCTACTCAACCTCCGACTCTGGAATACTCCAATTCGAAAAATCTTTTCGGCGAAAAAATAGATAAATGAAGTTGGTGTATAGCAATAAATGTTGAAAATAGATTTAAAAATAACAGAATGAAGTGTTAACTAATTAGAATAAATAAGATAATGGGCGAATATGAAGTCTAAACAAAAATACCAATTATATGTAAACATCTATGTGAAACGTCAGCTGATAAAAGAAAGAGAAAAAAAGCCCAATCGGAGTTACCCCACAGTTCGCGGTGAGTTGCCACTTTTTGTTTTTCCTGAGACTAGACCCGCTTTAGGCCTATGTCATAAGAATTGAGGTCACATTTGTATAGATTATGTGCCGTGTTCTTTTCTTCAGCCAGGTTGTGTCGGTACGAAGTCAGATATATTATATAGTGTAAGTTATTATTATTATTTTTTTTATATAATGCACTGTTTTATTTTTTTCTGAAGACTGCGTCCTTAACCAAGGCAATATTCACCCTCGTTATGCAAATCTACTTTTAATCTATTTATAAGTAGTGTACTCTACTGAAGAGTAAATTATATTTAATTTGATTTATCGTTAAGAAATACTGTACCTTTAGATACTTAATTTTAGCTTATTTAGATTCATTCAAATATGGCGCCAGCGTTACAATTTTTTTGCCTTCTTAAAAAAAGCGCTTCTTTTTGCTGTTATTTCCCTTCTCTCTCTTCTTCCTTCCCTTTCTCTCTTCTTTCTTTCTCTTTGCTTCCCTCCCTTCCTTCTTTCCTCTTGCTTTCTCTTTACTTCCCTCCCTGCCTCTTCCTCTCTCTGTCTCCCTAACTTCATTCTTCCCATCCCCTCCTTCCTCTCTCAGCCTATTTTCAGTTCCTCCTTGTCTCTCTCTACCCTCGTCTCCCTCTTCATTTTGTTGTTTCTCAGTTTTCCTTCCTTCTTCGCCGTCTACCTCCTCTCTTTCTTTCCTTTTCCCTTCACCCTCCCTCCCTCCTCACCTGTTTTGCCTCCCTCCTATCCTCCTCTTCCTCCCTCCCCTCCTCACCTTCAACTGAAAGACTTCCCTCTGCACCCTCTTATCCTCCTTCTCTCCCTCCTTCCCCATTCACTCCCTCCCTTCCTTTATTCCCAACCTCCCTCCCTCCTCTCTCATTTCCTCCCATCACTAAGTCCGTCCCACCCTCCCTCCTTCCCCATTCTCACCCTCAATCCCTCTTTCCCCATTCACTTCCTCCCTTCCTTCTTTCCCATCCTTCCTCCTTCCTTCCCCATTCCCTCCCTCCTTCCTTCCCCATTCGCTTCCTCTCTTGATTCCTTCTTTCCCACCTTCCCTTCTCCACCATTCCCCAATTCCCCTCCCTCCCTCCCGCCTTTCCTTCCTTCTCCATTCCATCTCCCCCTCCTCCTCCTCCCCCCCCCAACCCCCTCCTTCCTTCCCTCCCTCCCTTTCCCCTCTCCCCCCCCTCCCCTCCTCCCCACCCCACCCCTCCCCCACTCCACCCACCCCCCTCCTTCCCACCCCATCCCACCTCACCTGCGACTGAAAGACTTCCTGCTCGGCGTACACCCTCTGGATCTGCTCGTCCCACGCCTGGTCGAACACGCCCCTCAGCTCCTCCATCTCGTCGCCGTACGCCCGGAACTCCTCCTCGAGGCCCGCGCACTCCCTGACGATCTCCTCGACGCGGCCCCTTCGAGTGAGGCACCTTCTGAGCGTCACGTCTCGGTGCAGTTCCTGAGCCTCTTCTTTTAACCGGGTGAACTTGCTGGACAGTTCCTGCTAGAAGGGGAGGCGAGGGACGTTGTAGGGGCAGGTGAGAGAGAGAGGGAGCAGCCGTGTGTGTGTGGGGGGGGGGTGAGAGAGAGAGGGAGCTAGCCGTGTGTGTGTGTGGGGGGGGGGGGGGAGAGAGGAGCTAGCCGTGTGTTGTGTGGGGGGGGAGGTGAGAGAGAGAGGGAGCTAGCCGTGTCGGGGGGGGGGGGGGGGGAGGTGAGAGAGAGAGAGCTAGCCTTGTGTGTGTGTGGGGGGGGGAGGTGAGAGAGAGAGGGAGCTAGCCGTGTGTGTGGGGGGGGGGGGGTGAGAGAGAGAGGGAGCTAGCCGTGTGTGTGTGTGGGGGGGGGAGGGAGAGAGGGAGCTAGCCGTGTGTGTGTGTGTGGGGGGGGGAGGTGAGAGAGAGAGGGAGCTAGCCGTGTCGGGGGGGGGGGCGGGGGAGGTGAGAGAGAGAGAGCTAGCCTTGTGGTGTGTGTGGGGGGGGGGGGGGTGAGAGAGAGAGAGGGAGCTAGCCGTGTGTGTGTGGGGGGGAGAGAGAGAGGGAGCTAGCCGTGTGTGTGTGGGGGGGGGGGGGAGGGAGAGAGGGAGCTAGCCGTGTGTTGTGTGGGGGGGGGAGGTGAGAGAGAGAGGGAGCTAGCCGTGTCGGGGGGGGGGGGGGGGAGGTGAGAGAGAGAGAGCTAGCTTGTGTGTGGGGGGGGGGGGGGGGGGAGGTGAGAGAGAGAGGGAGCTAGCCGTGTGTGTGTAGGGGGGGGGAGAGCTAGCCGGGGGTGGGGGTAAGGGTTGTAGATAGGGGGTTGGGTAGGGATTTTTTTTTTTTTTTTTTTTTTTTTTTTTGAGGGGAAGGATGTTCTCCGTGTTTGTTTGTTGTTTTGTTCGGAAGGGGGTGTTTTTTTTTTTTTTTTTTATTTGAGGATGTCTGTGTTTGTCTGTCTGTCTGGGAGGGGGTGAGGGTATGGGTGTTGGGGATCTTGTTTTGGGTGAGGGAGGCTATTCTCCGTGTTTGTCTGTCTGTTTGTCTGTATGGTCTAGGGGGGGTTGTAGATAGGGGGTGGGGATTTTTTTTTTTTTTTTTTTTTTTTTTTTTTTTTGAGAGGATGTTCTCCGTGTTTGTCTGTCTGTCTCTTTCTGTGCGTGTTTGTTGTGGTAGCAAAATAAATTCACAGGCTACTACACCAACTATTGTCATATTTGTGACCATTGGCATAAATGGAATAAACTGAATTATTTATTATTGTCATCATTATAATTATCATTATCTTTCTCTCTCTCTCTCTACACAGGCACAAATGCATGACACACACACACACACACACAACACACACACACACACACACACACACACACACACACACACACACACACACACACACACACACACACACACACACACACACCATACCCACACCACACACACAAATACAAACACCTCCCCCGCCCTCCCCACCAACACACACACAAACGAACAAGCACACTCACAAAGCAACAACACCCACGACTCGAACCGGGTCCACCGTACCCTAAATTTATTCTCGTGCGACTTGCAGTGGTCGGCGAAGGGCCCTCCGCTCTCGATGATCTTCAGTTTCGCCGCCGACAGGGACCGACGGGAACCTGGCATCCCGAAGGCCGTCGGAGGCATGGCCGATCCTGCCGACGGGGGGCGGGAAGTGCAGCCCTCCGAGGATTGCTTCTCGCTGCACCCTGACGAGCCTGGGTGCGGGTGGTGAGGGGGAGGGGTGGAGGGGTGGAGGGGGAGGAGGGAGGGAGGGTGGGGAGGAGGGGAGAAGAGGGGGAGGGGTGGAGGAGGAGGGAGGAGAGGGAGGGGAGAAAGAGAGGAGGGGAGAAGAGGGAGGGGAGGGAGAAGGGGGAGGGGGAGGGGTGGAGGAAGGGTGAAGGGATGGAGAGGAGGGAGGGAGAGGAGGGGAGAGAGGGAGGGGGGAGGAGGGGAGGGAGGAGAGGAGAGGGAGGGAGGAGGAGGAGAGGGAGGGGAAGGAGGAGGAGGAAAGTAGAGGTGGAGGAACAGAGGAGGAGGGTGGATGGGTGTTGGAAGAGGAAGATAGAGGGAGATATAAAGTAGAAAGGGGATAGGTTTGAAGGAGAAATGGATGAGGAGAGAGAAGGGAGAAGAGAAAAAGAGAGGAAAGGATAAGTGAGGAGATGGTGGAAGAGGAGAAGAGAGAGAAAGAGGGTGAACGGATAAAGAGAGAGGAAGAAGTTGATGAGGTGAATGAGGAGAGAAAGGAGGAAAAAAAAAAGTGAGTAGACGGTGGAAAAGGAGGAGAGGAGAGTGAAAAGGAAAAATACGAGGAAGAGAGAATGAGGAGAGATGGACGAGGAAAGAGAAGAAAAATAAAAATGAGGAGAAGGAAAAAAGGGACGGAGAAGGATGAACGGAAGAGGAGAAAGAGAAAAGGGAAGTGGATGAGGCGAATGAGGAAAGGGAGAGGAGAGGAGAAGATTAAGATATTGAAAACATGCTTCGAAATGTTCATTTAGATGAGCTTCAAATCTTTATTATTGTATATACAGACAGACAAAAATAACTTGATAAATAAGAAATGAAATAACTCGATAAATAAGAAATTGGAATCTAAACAGATCTAAAAAGAAAAATACAGAAAAAATAAAACCAAACATCAAAAAAGAAAGAAAGTAAAAAAAGAAGAAAAAACGAAAAAAAAGAAAAAAAAACAGAAAGTAAACAAAAATGAATTAAAAAAAGGAAAGGAAAATCAGAGATAAAAACGAAAGAGAAAGAAAGAAAAAGAAAACAAAATAGAAAACGAAAGGAATAAGTAAAAAAAAAGAAAAAAAAAAAAAAAATTAAAACAAAAGATAGAAAACGAAAGAAAGAACAAGTAAAAAAAAAACAAAGATAAAAACAAAAAGAAAACTAAAAAACAACAACATAAAAACGAAAAAAAAAAAAAAAAAAAAAAAAAAAAAAAAAAAAAAAAAAAAAAAGCACTCAAACCAAAGGACACGCCCATGCAGCGACTCACCCGAGGGCATGGCCATGTCCCCGCGGCCCTTGCCCACCACCGACAGCAGGGGCTCGAGACTCCTGGAGAATTCGCTCTTAAAGTTACTCCTCACTTGGCTACTTTGGCCCGGCCTGGAGAAAGAACTTTTGGTGAAAAAAGAAAGAAAAAAAATGAGATTATTTTTCGCGGGAATTTGGTTTATTTATTTATTTTTTTTTTTTTTGAGGGGTTGGGGGAGGGGGAGTGGGGGGAGGGGGTTGATGGTTTGAGGGGAGGGGGGAGGGGGAGGGGTAGGGGTAAGGGGTAGGGGGGTAGGAAGGGGTTGGAGGGGTTGAAGGTAGTGGGTAGGGGGATATAGGGTAGTGCGTTGGGGGGGTAGGGGTAGGGAGGGGTTTGAAGGGGTGGGGTTGGGGGGGGGAGGGAGGGTATGGGGTGTGGGGTAGGAAGGGGTTGGAGGGGGGAGTTGGGGGTATGGGGTTGAGGGAGGGAGGGTATGGGGAGGGGGAGGATGGGGAGGGGGAGGGAGGGGGTAGGTTAGGGGTAGGGAAGGGGTAGGAGGGGAGGGAGTTGAGTTTGGGGGAGAGGGAGGGAGGGTATGGGGTATGGGGGAGGAAGGGGGTAGGCGGGTAGGGGTAGAGAGAGGGTAGGAGGAGGGGTTGGGGTATAGGGTTGGGGAGGGGGAGGGAGAGGTGTAGGGGGTAGATGGTAGGATAGGAATGGGGGGTTGGGGTATGGGGGGGAGGGGAGGGGTAGGGGGGTAGATGGGTAGGATTAGAATGGGGGTGGTTGGGGAGGTTGGCAAATTGGGGCGGGGACGAATATTGGGGGGAAGATAAGGGTTAGTAGAGGGAAAGGGGATTGGGGAGACAGGAACAGATGAAAAAGGGGAAACATGGATTAGAAAAACAGGGAAATGCGAAAATTGGGGGAGGAGGACTGGGATAATTGCAATAGGAGAAGATTGTGGAAGACGAAGATTAGGATAAGGATAACGAAGCTGACACGGAGGAGAAAGATTGGGGCATTGGATTAGGAGAGGATTAGGGTGGGTCCTGGAACCGGTAAGATTTTTTGGGAGGATCAGGACGCGGATATTAGGGATTAGAACGTGTCAAGAGCAGGAGATTGGAATAGGAATGTAGGATTAGGAATGGAGGATTGAAATGGCTGGAGGGACATTGAGGATTGTGAAAGGGGGGGGCGTAAGGGGATTAGGGAAGGACTGAGTGAAAAAAACAGAAGAAGACCAGGGTAGGATTGGGGTAGGGTTAGGGAATGATTGGGTAAGATTAGGGAATGGTTTGGGTAGGATTAGGATAGGATTAAGGTAAAATTAAGGTAGGATTAGGGTAAGATTATAGAACGATTAGGGCAGGATTAGGACGAGGGCGGGCGCGAGGGTATGGCTTATAAGCTACGGGTTATATATATACATATTTGGAAATTTTGAAATGAAATAAGCTGGAAACAAAACTTGAAAGAATTGACTGATTCATATACATATAAAGTGATTTTTGAGTTACCATATATTGATCAGTATTGTTCTACAGCAAAACGTTATACATCCATCCATCCTTACATAGTATATATGTATGTATATATATATATATATATATATATATATATATATATATATAATAT